GAACAAAACAAAACAATCAGTAAGATTTCCATGGAAAACAGATAACTACATAAGCCCTCACACTGGTCAAGCTAAGACAAAAGTGATTATCACTGTTGGTAACAACAACAAAAGTCTCACTATGTTGTTGAGGCTGACCTTGAACTCACTATGGAGCCCATGGTCTCAAACTCACAGCATTTCTGCCTCAGCTTCCCCAGTCCTGGGATTATAGGTGTTCACCAACATGCCCAATTGGAAACAAAATTAATTTAGATACTCAACTAAAGAAAAATCAAGGTACAATCTTCATACTTTAGCAAATCTCTGATTTTCTCTATCCATTTGGTGAAGGGTCTCACGCCGCAATTGAGACTCACAGTGACCCTCCTGTCTCAGCCTCCCCAGCACTGGGGATTATAGGCATGTGCCACCACACCCGGTTTCAGGGCAGGCACAGCATGCAGTACCAGGGATGGAACTCAGGTCCTTGCACTACAGGCAGGCCCTTAGACCACCTAGCTATCTCCCCAGCCCAGATCTCTGATTTTTCAATTCTCATTCATTTATGATACATGTATTTGGAGCTCTTAGGCCTTTGGAATACACTGATAAGCAGAATAGTGTTGGTCACAGAGAGAAAAATTCAGACAAAATATTCCTATAAAAAGTAATATTTGCATCAAGAATTTTCTATAAAATGCTATGGAAAGGGCTTGGGAGATAGCTCAGTGAAATAAGTGCTTGATTGGTAAGCACAAGAGCCTGAGTTTGATCCCTAGTACCACCAAAAAAAAAAAAAAAAAAGGGGCAAAATGCTATGGAAACAGAGACCTTTCCTGTGAATTCTTGCAGGAAAATTAAAATAACTGGCCAATTTTCCTGGGCTAATAAATGGGTTCACCAGAAGAAAACAGAAATATTCAATCCACTCAGGGCTCTCCTGTCTTTCATTATCAAGCCATCAACAAGCCCTTTAATCTCACAGCAACTTGTTTATGAAATGTTCTATGAATGGTAACAAAGAATTGTTTTAGAGGAATTTATGAGCAACAAAACTTGATAAGGTGGCTCCTTATACATCACATTCTAAGTTAAACATCTTACTTTAAAAGGTAAATATGGTTAATTGGTATTTATCAAATATAAATGTGGCCCTTACTTAAGACTGGATCTCCTGTGGGGTGAATCAGACAGCACAGTACTTCGTGCCAGCACAGGCCATGTAATTACCTAGAGGGGCTAGGAGCCCAGCTTTGGGTGGCTCTCCGGGGTAGCTCTGCTACAGAGAAAGGTAAAAATCTTAATTCTCAAGTTCATAGACACTGCTCCCAAGCCTTCTTCCCATTCTCAGACTTTTTACACATAGTTTTACTACTCCCCTTCAGGGCACAATGTGGTAGCTGTTCAAAACCTCCTGATTCTTTCAACAATATTTAATGAGTTGCTACTGTCCTAAGTGACGGGGTGACAGTGAATGAGACAAAAGTCTCAGGCTTTCATGGGGCTCAAATTCTGAGTTGGACAACCACAGGTGAACAAGCACCAAGGTAATCTGCAATGGCCAAGAGTGCTGTGGGAACAAACAGGGTAGAGTGACAAAGCTACTGTGGAATCTTTGATTGCAGTGGCCAAGGAGGTGACATCTGATTCATAAGAATGACTGACCAGTCAGTCTGTCTTGAGAAAACCCCAGATCAGCATATTCCAGAGAGGAGAAACAAGCTTGACATGGTGTTCCATGTGTCTAATCCCAGAGCTCTAGATGGCTGAGGCAGGACTGTTTTCAGTTCAAGGCCATCCTGAACTACACAGCAAGACCTGTCTCAAAAAACCTAAACACATAAGTAAATTAAATAAATATTAATACCATGTCAAATCTGTAACTCTAACTATCCCTAAAGCAAAGTAAACACCAGCTACCATAATTATGCATAAATACTTTGGCAAATAGGTGAGAAAGTCATACTTGACTTGTATCTCATCTCTTATAACTAATTCATCTTTCATCTGAAAAGTCTTCTGGGGGACCCAAGACCCTCAGAATACCAAGAAATAGAAAGTGAGAGGCAGTTAACCTGCTTACCTCAAAGGTGGGCACAGAATTGCTGATTTAATGTACATGCATAAGCACCCAAAACCTCATTTTAAACTATAGGCATAAATTCCTTTAACAAAAACTTAAAAGCAACAGGAGTGTAATGAGCAAGACAGAACATGAAGCCAAAGGCATTCAATTCAGTGAACAGATGATGGCTTACTGGTGGTAATCCTCCTTCCTCAACCTCTCAAGTACTACTGTTTATAGGCATGCAACACCACATCTGGCACAAAATAAATCTTAGGAAGATATTTCTCCCTTTTGACAGCATCAAATAGACCTACTTAAGTCTTAGAGCCTTGGAAGCAGCTCATCAAAAAAGAAGTTTGGGCTGGGGATATAGCTCAGGGCCAAGGATACAGCTCAGCAGTACGGCACCTGCCTGACAAGTGTGAGGTCCAGAGTTCAATTCCCACTACCACCCCCCAAAAAGAAAGAAAAGTTTGTCACTTCAGAATTGAAAGATATGGCCATCTGCTCAGCGATCAGTGAAGAATACACAGTCCTAGCCATGTAGACAGCCAATTGAAGCAATAGCTGGAAGTCAGTCATGTGTTTCAGGAACTTAACATCACATCTTTGAAATACCAAATATACCCAAAAATACAGCAAGATCCCCTCAAAAAAAAAAAAAAAAAAAAAAAAAAAAAAAAGAAAGAAAACACTCGGGGGAGAAGTTACCTGGGGATCCCCAAACTACAGAAGTCTCTTTCTGAGAGTTAAATAAACAGCTTTGAGTCCAAAGAGCTCATCACCCAGGCAAGACAACAATCTCTAAACTTCCAAGCCCCACAAAACATTCACAGGGACAAATGGAAAAATAGAGGTTGGAGGGTACAGACACGTTTGTCTTTTTGAGTCTACAGACATGGCCAAAATCAGCACAACTCACTTTATAGTTAATTCTTTACACTAATCCAGGATATTTTTCCAGAAAAAACACATTCCCATCATTCCTATCATTCACATTTCCCACTCATGCCTATGAGCACAGTGAGGCGAGGAGAAGGAGGCGGCTACTCCAAGCTTCCTGAGATTTCAGCAACTGGCACAGATCACAGGAGCTCTATCTGGATGGCAGAGGTCCTCAACTGAGCAGCTAACCTAACCCAGAATTTTTCTTTCCTGGTTGTCCTGCAGTCAGAAGAGGAACAGGAGTTACACAGGACATACGGTGTAAAGGCACACAATTGCTGCCCTGAGTCAGGATAGCAAGAAACCTGAGGGCACAGGGGTGGCACTGGGGAAATTATGGAT